GGTACACTCTAAAAAATGCTGGGTTAAATACAACCCAGTGCTGGGTAAAATAGGGACAAAGCCAGCAATTGGGTTGTTTTGAGCCAGCGGTTGGGTTACTACCCAGAAGGTTGGGTTAAACATTTAACCCAACCGCTGTCTCAAAACAGCCCAATTGCTGGGTTTGTCCCTATTTTACCCAGCATTTTTTAGAGTGTACTGTGTCCATTCATCACTTACACCCTTCATTGTCATCATATACAGTCATCATAAAATGATAGCTCTGAGAATCACAAGCAGGAACGTCTCCCAGACAGCAGGGATGAGGAAAAATCACAAATGGCCGAAGTTTGCAGCATCTTGGTTTCGGCGTGTTTTTTTGGAACGGATGTCTGCATGGTGTTCTTGCTTTAATAAGACTGAGGCTATGATTAAAGGGCTGACTCAGGAGACTGTAACCTGTATTTCCTACTCTTGTTTCTTGCCCGTCGTTTTATGCCTGCCAGCTGCACAGGATTAGTGTTTTGACAAAAGCAATGCTTATTAATAAGAAAATTGTCTGTAGCTGCAGGAAAATTAAATAGATGTGAGATGCATATTTTGTTTGGCTGAAAAAGCTCTGTGAGGCTATTAATTAGTCGACTAGGAGCATTTGCTAGGACTGAAACAAATAGATTAGCTGGGAAAATGCCTCTTGCCTTTTCGAGTAGAATTATCATTATCGCAACCACTTTCAAAGGCTTATGCTGTGACGGTAGAAATGCGGCAGCTGGAACAGATGTTTATAACGTGATAGATATGTTTTGCATGGCTATCAGTGGGCTGGACTGCTTTACTTTCTCTACGTTTAAGAGCAGAAGAAAAAAAGAAAAGAAAGTGGAGTTATTCAAAAAATACATAACACAACTAACCCAAAACAAGTCAGGAAGAGGAATAACTTGTTAGTAAAGTGTGTGTTTGTGAACTATCATAATCTATCTGTTTTATTATATAGCCTATATATGAGATGCTATTAGATGCTTTTGTTCAAAAGTTTGGGCTCGGTAAGATTTTTTTATTTTGTTTTTAAAAGAAGTCTCTTACTGTTTTTTTTTTTTTTTTTCTTTTTCATTGAAAAAAGTTACTAAAAATTGTGCAAATAAAATAACCTATATACAGGTGCATCTCAATAAATTAGAATGTTGTGGAAAAGTTCATTTATTTCAGTAATTCAACTCAAATTGTGAAACTCGTGTATTAAATAAATTCAG